CTCTTGGAGGAGAGACGAAACGTTTCATTAGAGAAGAACCCGTCCAGAGGACCTATACAATTTTTTTATTTTCGAAGCAGATACACACAACCCAGAAGCTCTTTCATAACCATTCAATCTGCTATGATCTGTGTCTATTTATTCACAAATAATACATGTTCCTATAAGTAAAAAAAATAAAATTTAACTACCACATGTAAATAATTATTGAGAACATTATATGGTCACATACAAAAAAATGCACAGAGTCCACATTTTGTGCTTTACGGTGAAAAATATTGCTACTGATTGTGCCAGCATCAGGTGCTTTATTTGTGTAACAGTTCTTTGCACCACTGTTTCCAGGACTGAGCTCATTTAGCTGAAATAGTGCAACTGTAGTGGTTAAATATCCTATTTTGCTTCCTAAAGTTTCGGCTTATTTTGTTGTTTTTTCTCCAAGAAGAATTACGGAGCCCGCGAGGGGACATGGGGCGATTATTTTTCTTTTGCGTTACCTCGCAATACTTTTGCGTTACTTTGCAATATKTTTGCGTTACTTTGCAATACTTTTGCATTACCTCGCAAAATTGTTTTGCGTTGTTTTGTATATGAACCGAATTAAATCAGACTTTTATTTTGAAATATCCGGTTACCAAAACAGGATATGTCGCCACAAGTTTGTGAAATTGACGTTGATGTTTCGTGGCTGCACTGTGTTAAAATATCGGCATATGGCATACTTCCATGCGTGGCTGTGTGACATATTCATTCTGAAGCTGATTTAAAGCAGTAGGCTAACTCACTAATGGTGAACATGTGAGTTTGTTAATAAACAGGCAGGCACAACAGTGATAAACTACTTTTGCGAGGGAACGCAAAAGTATTGCGTGGGAACGCAAAAGAAAAAAACCTCCCATGTCCCCTCGCGGGCTCCGTAAAGAATGCCCAATAGCTTTGCAAATTCACAATAAAGTTTTTGATCCTTTTTTGTTGTTGTTGTTGTTGTTGTTGTTGTTGTTGTTGTTGTTGGAAAAGTCTGACACAGAGGGCCCAGCGGTTGTTGTCGTCCTTCCCTTGAGGTTTTAATAATGCTTGTCCACATCTTCACCCAAAGTGGGTCATTGTCTAAGTAGAAGAGGTGGGTGTACCTTGGGGTCATCACAGCCTCACTCAGACTGTGAAGTGGTTTTAGTTTTGGCAGTCTGAGAGGAGGAGGCGTGGTCAGTCTTTGGCCCCTCCCTCTCTGCTCTGCTCGGGCTCCACCGTCACAGAAAGCTGTCCTCCGCCAGGTCACTACAGTCCAGACACATCTCATCCAGCAGTGTGATGTCCTCCAAAGTCTCCCCCTCACGTTTAYCATAGGTGGAGCTGCTGGAGCCCGTCTCAATGGCGCTCTCCTCAGACGTTTGAGAGCTAAAAGGGCAGGAAATAAGACGTTTAAATAAAGTCGACGTTAATGCCGAGTGCTGCTGTCGGAGGAAACGACTGCTCAGTTTACCTGTGTCTGTTCCGCTTTCCATAGTCTTCATCTGAGATTGGTTCGAGGTCTGGAAGTGGGATAATGTAGCCACTGTCAGAGCTCAGTCGCTGCTCATCAAAGCTGCTTTCCCGGTCTTTTAGCTTTGCCTGGTTCTTGTATGGGATGTCAACATAATCTGCATCGGTTTCCACGCCCACTCGAATCACAGCGGGATGGTCACTTTTCAGGAAGTCATGGTTGACTCTCTCATAATGCTGCACAAAATAAAAAAAAATGTGGTTTAATCACATCAACAAAACAAAACATTATATACTTCAAGGTTCCTACAGTTTAAGGCAAGTTAAATTTAAGACTTTTTATTGCCAAGTGAAATTAAATTTAAGACCAATTTCATAATAAACACATATGATAAAAACATAAAAACTGGCAGAAACTCATGAATCAACGTATTTTTTGTTTAAGTATTCAAATATTTCTAATAGACCAATTGTTTTTGTCCATATCTAACCATAGCAGAAACATTCGTAGCAGTTTTAAACAATTTAATTTCAGGAAATCCTCTAACGACCCAAAATTTGTAGTTTTAGGACCCACAGTGGGGTTGTAACCCCAGCATACTGTAGATGAAACCTAAAAGTGCATGTGACATCAATTTTTGTAAGAAATATGAATGAATTTTTGGAAAGACAACCTTACACAAAATGAATTTCACATTGCTCAGATGAACAGTTGAGATATTTGCACGTGAAACCAACAGGATGTAATGTCAAAGGGGAATGTCTGCATGTGAATATTTAAAAAATATAACTTTTACCTGTTATTTTAATATTTGAGATGAATTACAGTCATCCTATTTACAATGTGTTCACATTTTTAAGACTTCTTAAAGACTGATTTAAGACATTTTAAGGCTAATTAAGGCCTTATTTTTGCATTGATGAATTCAATGACTTTTAAGACTGTTTAAGGACCTGCAGGAACCCTGTACTTTGTATCCTGATGCATCTCAGTAATCCAGGTAAAAAATCAAAGGAAAAAAAAAATAGTATAGGTCTTCTGGACGGGTTCTTCTTTAATGAAACGTTTCGTCTCTCRTCCAAGAGACTTCTTCAGTCTGAGAGTTTCAGGCAAAATTCAGGCTTTTATGTCCTGCCTCCAGGTGACTGATACTCACATCACATGACCATCGTTCACAGGTGACTCCCACTCACATCACCTGGCTATGACTCACAGGTGACTGATACTCACATCACATGACCATCGTTCACAGGTGACTCCCTGTACTTTGTAGCACAGAAATAGTAATAACGCTATGAAATCTGTGCAGATAGAACAAGTGAACCCTTGGCGGTACTGCTTCATGAGAATTAGTGACGGCTGCTTTTCTCGCCCAGTGAAGTGAAATCCAAACATCACAGTTAAGCCTCCGCTGCCAGCCACTAAAGCTGTGAGCAGGGTGGAGGTAAAGCTGCTCTGACGTGCCATGTGCTGCAGAAAGCTAATTAAGGTCGTCTGGTGTAGGCAACAATAAAAACTGTCATTACCTACACTGAGGCTAGGCACTGCAGCAGCACTAAGGCTCTAATCACGTTTTACACAGGAACATAAGAGGAGCTTAAAAAACACTCATGGAGGGTGTGGAGTGGGTTTTAACCTGTTACTTTAATAATCTATTTAAACCATTTTCAACCTACACTTTGTAAAATAACATGTACAAGGAACCGCTCCTCTATTTTGACTTGCAGTAAATTAAATATCAAGCGTTGCAAATTCAGAGGTCTGAAGAGCAGGGGCGGAGCCAGGGGTGGCCATGGCCACCACAGACAAATCTTTGGCCACCCTGCTGTACACAACCTTTATATAGTGAAACAACTTTTAGGGGTGTAATAATCCTCCTGAACAGTTGGTGGCAGTGTTTAACAGTTTGAAACATCACCAAGCTCTATCACTGAAGAAGAGAAATGACAAAGAAGTGATGTTTTTCTTTATATACAGAACATATACCTGCAATCTGACTTATGGTGCCAACTTTTGAACTTATGGAGACAAATGTTTTTTTGTCACCATAACAGTGTCATTTTAAGTTATGAAGGCTGCAAGATGCTCTGTTTATTTGAGTTATCAAAACCTTTCACTAAATCAGAAAAAGTGAAACATGCCTCTAAATTCACTAAATTCATTGGGTAAAGTTTATAKTGTTAGTTTTAAGCATGCAGTTGAGGGTTTTAAACATGCGGTCATCATTATTTGGCATGATGGCATGTGTTACAATAAATAATAATGAATAAATCAATAAACAATGTAAAAATAAAAAAGCACCTAGTCATTGGATATGATAAATTGTGACACATTAATTAATCTTATCCCAGATGTGAGTTTAAAAACAGGATGAACTAGTTTAATTAAGAATCTGTCTCTGAAATAATTAAATCAAGTGTTTATTCAAGTCTGTAAAAGTCTGTTTAACAACCTGGTAAATACACCAGAATGTAGGAAATGGCATCTATTTCGTCCAAAGATTTCTGGGGAAGGACCCCCAGACCCCCCAACAGTGTCCCCCCCCCACTTTTAAAATGGTTCTGATGCCTATGTTTATAAGGTCACTGCCTTTATAAGGAGATAAGGAAATGACCAAAACACAAAGATCTGCAGAAACTTTCAAGTAAAAATATCATGTAAAGTTCCTGGCCACCCCTGTGTGAGTAGTGGTCCCAGTCTGGCCACCCCTGGGAAAAATGTCTGGCTCCYCCACTGCTGAGGAGGTGAAAGGTCAAAACCAGACTTACTCTCTTATAACTGGAGGGCAGCAAAGACTCCACAGTTTCACTCAGACCCAAGAAGGAAGGCCTCTTCTCTGGCTCACTGTTCCAGCACTTCATCATCATCTCATACCTGAAAAATCACAGAATATTCTCATTTTATCATTTCACTGTGACTGGTGAGAGTCATTATACATCACTGCTCAGGGACATTAAGCCAGCAAACACATAGTAGTTGTGTAACCACTGTGTGTGAGATCACGTACACATCAGGTGGTGCGTGCTCTGGTTTGGACATCCTGTATCCACTCTTGATCTTGTTGTAGAAGCTGGAGTCAACCACCATCCCTGGATACGGTGTACCACCTTCAGACACAGACACGTTTTGTTAAAAGTTGTCTAATCTTACTAAAATTACTTAAAAATAATGATGGTAATAATGATAATGATAATAATAATAATAATAATGGCAGTGTTTTGTGCACGTTAAAAAAATCTTTCTTGTGACAAACAAGAAAGTAAACTGAGCCTTTATGTGAAGAGGCTCAAAGAGACGGCTTTAAAACAAACAAGGTGAATAAGGAGCAGAAAAAAACAAACACTTCATTCCCTTTCCAAAATAAAACAATAAAAAGAATTCTATAYACACAATTTTGGTGCATTATCCTCTCGAGCCCCTTGCCCCCCGGTACTGGGGACAAAACTGAATTTTCTGTTTTCTATTTATAGAAACTTCTGTTAACTTACAACCTGTAATTTAAACAGTTTAGCATCCACAGAAATGTCACAATCTTGGCTAAAAGCTCATAAAATTATTTTTACTTTGATCAAACCTGATTAAAACCACGAGTAGTTAAATCAGAAATTAAACAAATTGTAGAAAAACGTGCAAATCTGTAATTACATCAGAGCAAACATGTGAATTTATAAGGTCAAATCTGTAAAAAAAAAATTTTTATGCAAGCCAAAGCCAAAATACCAAAATGGTAAATTGTTTTGAAGGTTATTTTTTTACTTGATTTTGTTAAATATGCTAGGAGTCAAATATAATAATTCCTCAGTGTTTTATTTAAAAAAAAAAAACAACCTTTCAGGCGTGTAAGAAAATAGGTTTAATTTTACAACTTAAAACTTAAGATTTCTTAATATTTACTGATGAAACCAACATGGTCCATTCTGTGCAGAATGATAGAATGCAGAGTTATTTCTTTAGTAAAACCACTGGAGCTTTGCTGTAGTTTGTTTTATCAGCATGAATCTTTGTAGTGTCCACATGTGGTTTTATGGTTTCCAAGAGTTTCTAGCCTTATTATTTGATATTTTAAAAGGGTTGTATACTGTTTGATTTAATTAAACCTTCTGCGAGGGTTCCATCCTCTCTCTCTCTGAAACAACAGCAGCTGCTGTGATACTTTCACTTCTGATGAAATCTTCCATGTTAGCTGTACTTTTGGGGTGCCATTTGTAAAGTTACACAGTGAAAAATTACCACCAATATTTTTGTTTTATTTAAACTTTCTTAAGAAAAAAAAGAACAGATTTATTTTCAAAGTCAGTTTTTCACCATATAATTCATACATTTATAAATGT